ATAAAGATATTAATTTTATAATGTTTTAAATATTCGAATAATATTTTAAAATTATTTCTAGTTTTCTTTTATATATAAATAATTTCATGGGGGCTCATTGTATACATGGGCCCACCATGTTGTTGGAGATGGGGCCCATGAAGCCCCCTCTAAGGTGGCACGCCCGACCCCTTTATTATCTTTCCTTATTTAGTGGGATATGACATGTGGTCATATGGTTGGAATATATTAACTAAATATTGACTAAATATTGACTTGATATATTTTGAAAGATTTTGTGGAAAGTATGTGAAGACTTGTGCTATGATATGCACAAAATTTTGATTGGATTTAATTTATTTAATTTTTAATGATAGAAAAATGGTTTAGGCAAGGGAGATGATAGTTCATGCACCTTCTATAATGTTAATGGCTCATCTATAAAATTGATAACTTAAATCTCTCACCCCACAAGTCACCATTGATTGACGGTCAATATTCAATTTCACTTAAGATGCAAACTATGATAAACCCTAAGAAACCCTAGACTTAATTTTTTCTATAAATAGAAGACCTCCCCTCCTCTATTCTTTGCACTAATCTCTCTTCTCTCTCTCTCTAAACTCTCTTCCTCTCGAAGGACACGCCTCACTCTTTCATCTCTCTGTAACCTTTTCTCTCTCCTAGCCCATAGAGGGGACCACCCCTAGGATATTTCTCATTCTCTCTCATCTTGATTAAACATAAGGGTTGGGTAGTAGATGATATGCTTGACTAGGTCTTTGGGAGTTTGGACCTAGGTTCAAAGATTTGTGATCAAAAGGGGGAGTATATAGTTTCATAGAAAAGTTTGGCCTAAAATTACTTTCCCGGTTGAGATTGAAGCTAGATCATCGATCTCACGGCATCAGATGGTGGTAACTTGGTGTGGGGTATAATAAGCCCGGTTGAGGTACTCTTCAGCACTCTCCATTTTATTTCTTACAATTTAATTTGTATATTCTCAAACATAAGGAGAGCATCAAGGTTTTTAAGATATTGGATTTGTTAGTTTTATTTTATGTGAAGCAAGAGTTATTGTACTAAGACTATTTGTTGGGATCTTTGTCAACAGAAAAAAAAAAAAAAAAGGGGTAAAAAAAAGAAAATAAAATATATATTCCCGGTAATATCACATTAGTCTTTATTTCAAAAATATCTCTATACCCCCTATTTTTAGATTTCATTTCACAATAGACCCAAGGTTTTAAAAGATATATTAGGGCATAAAAATTATAGATTTTATTTATTCTAACCCACTGAACTACTTTAAACCTGTTTTTTTAGGCCAAACAAATCTAAAAATACATGCATTTTCTAAAAAATATCCTCCCAAACTTCTAGAGAGAGGAAGAATGGCTTCATGGAGGTGAGAGGTTACCGGGAGAAAATATAGGTATTTGAAGAAACACGGGAGGAGAGAGAGAGGCATAGGAAGAGAGAAAGATAGAACTTTGGGGTATATAAGTGAAGAGAGAATAACAGATTGGGTTTAGAAAGAACATGTTTTTCTCACATTTGTTTAGGTTAAAAAATAGGTTTAAAGTGGCCAGAGGATTAGAATATATATTTTGAATCCTTGAGTTTATAAAAAATGAAACTTAAAAATAGAGGATATGGAGATATTTTCCTTATATTAGAATAATATATAATCCAAATAAGGAAAAACCAAGAATGTGTTTATTCAAATTTTCAAATATATGAATATTGAAATTCTGTTTTGTCAAACATACCATAAAATAGTCAACAGAAAGTGGGTTTTGTCAAATTCAGATTTATAGAGAAATCAATCTTAAAATACCTATTCTGTATATATTTGCAGTTGAGCCGACTTAGATAGTGTGAAATCTCAAATAAATACAAAAGAAAGTAGAATAAAAGGAACCGGAAAAATAAACTACTAAGGAAAATAAGAAAACATGAATAAAGATGAATAAAGTTGATTTAACTAGAAAAATAGACTAATCAAATAAAATGGAGATGAATAACAATGAAAAGAAATAAAATAAAGAGAAGGAGAGTAGATTAACTGAGTAATAAAAACTAAATAACTAAATTAAACAGTAAAACACATCAAATAATAATAAAAAGAAAAAGGAAAAAAACAAAAGAACCAAGAAGCCGAGCCCTTAGGATCAGCACCCACAGTTGAGCCTGGATCGAATGGCGAAGATGAAGTCCTTGCTCCTGATCCTCAAGATTGGCAATACTTAATTAATGATTGCACTTTGGGGATGAGAGGGAGGCCTTGGAGTTTCACTTCTAGGGCTTTTTATGACTGAAAATGATTGATTTGGTGTGGGAAGTTGGCTGAAGCATGGTATTTATATCTAAGGTTTGGAGGGCGTAAAGCTAGGGTTTGGAGACTGTAGGGTTTTTATGACTAAAATCATGGTTGGGGTTGATGTTTGGGTCTCTGTTTGCAGAAAAGGTTGGGCAAATGACTTTTATAGGCAAAATACACCCTAAAATAGAAAGGTGGTGGTCTTGGATTGGTACGGAGGTGGTATGTAATTCGCACCGCATTTTCCAACATAGCCCTCTCTCCTCTGTGCCACAGTTTGCGGTGCGGAAAAGAACTTAGTTTGGAACCTTTACATGATTGATCAGAACATCACATTATGTCTAATAGTGGTGGCCTGGTTAAATTTGGATGCTTATAGAGGGTTAAGATACACAAATTCTCCATTTCAAGTTATAGAAACTACCAAATTTGGAAATTTAGTTCCTACCTAGGGATTTTGTAATATTGATATGCCTGTCTTCAATTTTAGGGAACATTAGGATTCTAAATTGTGGTATTCAAGAATTTTGTAGGTTTCTGGGAATTTTTAGGTTTCTAAATCTTGAGATTTATAGGGTTTGGTTTCTTAAAGAAGGGGGGGGGGGGGTGTTGGGTTTGTCTGCAATGGTCATTCTTTAGCACTCCTTGTCCTTCGAGGAACATGAGTGTAAAGAAGTAGACACATGAGAGTGTAAAGAAGTAGACACCCGAGACTGAGTAAATAATTGAAACTAGAAAGTGCTTGGACTCAGGGGTTGAGCGTTCTCTAGGGTGTTCTCAGGCAGTATGTTGGGATTGCTGCATGGTTCCATAACGTCATCAATTCTAAGTTTTTGAAGCTGACTGAATGAAATGAATGAATCCGCGTTTATCTTTGTCTCAAAATTCCTTATTCCTTTTTCACTTAAGGCTTTCTAAAGGCTTAAAGGTTTTGTGTGTCGAGGGGTTAAGTTTTGACCAAGGAAGGCTTCTAAACTCTTTGTGAATATTTGAAAAAGTTTAGAGATTCACGAGGGCTTGAGAGATTTTTATAGGTTTCTCTTCCCCATTGCACTTCTTATTTATTGGATCATGCAATCTCTTAGATCTCAGATGTGGACTATGGATGACCGGACAATGTCATCATTTCTAGGGCTGATCCAAATCTTTACTTTTAAGTCTTGATTTTGAAAGCTTTATTCAATTTCTTTTAAGTCACCCTCACCGCCTCTCCCATGGTTATTCATCCCGTGATGGGTGGGGTAGAAGTCTGGGTAAATCCTAGGTAGCACATTTACACACATGCACAAGAGTAATGGAAAGTCTCAAGGGAAATTACCAACAATATCCCTTAAAATTTCAGAAATTTGGAACTTACAATTTTTTCCTTGTCCATATCCATTTATTCTCCATCTTATTTACCTAATACGCATGTGAAGCTTTTACAAACCTATTAAGCCCATAGGAGTACGCTGTCCATTTACTCCCTCTAATAAAACTCATCCGAGAAATATTTTTAGATCCCAAAATTTGAAGATATAATCTCCAAAACCCAAAAAAACATTTTTGCACTCTCCATGTGCCTACAAAAAATGATATCTTGTCAGCTTATTGGAGGGAGTATCACGATTTCAAGAACTTAAAATCCCATTTTTTTTTCCTTTGAAAACAACAGATTAGTGATACTCGCAAAACTTTGAAATTTTTTTTAAAATAAATTTCCCAAATACCTATTTTTCTACGGTAATGCTCCCACGAGAACATACTACGTAGAATCTGAAAAATTATTTCAAATAAAATATTTGGAAAATATAGTCGTACCCTTTATTTTTTTTATTTTCAAATCTCAATAGACTAAAAGATTCAAAATATATATCCTAACCCCCAGACTAACTTTATCAACTTTAACTATTTTTTTAGCCTTAACAAATATAAAAAAAACATGTTTATTCTAAACAATTCATCTATTTACACGATATATTCGCTTCAAATTTATCTCTCCAATATTCACTTTTTTCTCTCTCTAACAGGGAGAGAGAGTGAAAAAATAGGTAGAAAGAGAGAGAGATTTAGGAGAAAATAAAAAGAGATAAAGAATGTTATTTAGAAAGGATATTTCATTTTTATATTTGTTTGGAGCAAAAAAAATAGGTTTAAAAGAAATAAAGTTAGCTTAAAGAGTTAAAAGATATAAAACTTAAAAGTTTACTTAAAAGTTTTATGATTCAAGATATGTTTTGAAACTTTAAATCTAGTGAGATATAAAACTTAAAAATGGGGGGCAAGAGATATTTTTTTTAAAACTTTTGCTAAGATGCTATACTAAGGTGGGAGTATAATGCCCATTTACTCCCTCAATTCATCACCAAAAGTTAATTTTAGGACCAACCTATGGTTTAACATCAAAAAAAAAAAAAAAAAAAAGGATATTCCTAATTATATCTTCTTATATAATTGGAAAAACTAATGTCCCAATAAAGACCATCAAAATTTACGTTGTCAGATCTTAGAAAACTAAAATTTTTATTTTTATTTATTTTGAGAATGATCATCATGATTATTAAATGGTTCCCAAAATTTGATAAACTCCTCCTAAACAGGTTTTTGACAGAGAGAGTAGAAGCTAACTATGCCCCCGAAGGAAGCGTTGCACGCGTGCCCGAATATCATTATAAGGTAATGATCCTGTAATTTATTTCAAAACGGGGTCTCTGTGATCAAATTTTTGCCTCCAGTTTTCTCTCTCTCTAAATTTTCTCTCTCATCGTTCCTTCTCTAGTTTTCTCACTCTAAATTTCGAAGTCTAATCACAGTTAAAGCCATCTCTCTCGGTTGCCTTTCCTATTCCTAAGGAGTGTCCATACTTCTCAAAAGAAATAAGGACAAATAAATTGGCAGCAAATCTTAAAGACCTAAATCACTCAGACTATTTCAAATTTTTATTCTGGGTCTGGTTTGGCTATTTTTAAGCCAAGGTAATAACTTTTTCGGGTTTTTTCTTGAAAAATTTCAAACATGGTTTTTTTGAGAGAGAGCTTGCATTTTTCATGTTTTTATATTTCACTTATGAATTCATTCTTTCTATGCGCCTTTTGACTCCTCTTTAAAATCCATGATTTTCAAGATATTAGAGAAAGACCAGAGCTTTAGCTTCCCAAAAAGAGAGAATGATAAAGCTTTTCTTCTTTATAATGTGTGGACTTATTTTTGAATGGTAGAAGTTGGGTCTGTTTTTTTTTTTGTTGGGTACTCCTTTTATTTTTTTTCCTATTCTGAGTTTTGAATTTTTCCCTTTTTATATGGTTTTAACTTTCTTTCTGACTTTGTTTTCTAAATATTGTGCACAGAGCGACCTCATGAAGATCTGAGGTAGGGAGCGTTGGAAGTTGCAGGTTTGACATTTCGTGGTTCAATCTTTGGTGTTTGGGTATTTTCCTCCAGTAAAGTGCAGAGATTTGTGTAATTTATGCAGTGGCATTTTAAGTGACAACAAAGGGGCATCCTTGCCCTTATAGCATATGATTTAAGTGAATTTCTCAAAAGGATTATTGTTATTCTCTTCATAGGATGTAATCATTGATGGTGATATTTATTCTCGAACTGTGTTCCTCATCGTGGGATTGATAAATTTGCCTTAATTGGATGTTGCAGATTTGTTAGGAAAGCATACCCTAAGTCATTTTCGGCTCTTGAACTCAGAGGCCATCTCTCTCTCTCTCTTTTTGGGGACCCTTGAATTGCAAAGGCTGGACTATGACTTTGCCAGAACTTGATGACTCAGTTCGTCCGGTTTTTGTGGATTTCATGACTAGGTCTCTCTCTCTCTCTAAATTCAGTCTAGCATTCATTCCCCTGTTGAGCCAGGAAAACATATGCTAATTCAATCCACCCATTTTATGTGCTGATGGCACAAGTTTAAATGAGCAAAACCAAGCTGACTCATTTGATTTGATGTTTGATATGTGGATTCGGCTTCCATATTTTCTTTTTCATCTTCCAGGAATCCATATGTCCCATTAATTTGCAATATTACAAAAATATTCTTCATCTTTGCATGGCCGTTCCCATAATGCAACGGTCTTGTTAACTAGTTCGCATGATGAGCCTTTGGGTCTGTTTATTGATTCAAATTACTATGTAAGCTTCTTAATATGATATTTCATGCTGTGGCTCAAATTTGGTATGAATTTCGTTGTTAGAGAAAACCTTTCTAATAGAATTTGTTGTTTCGAAGAGTTGCAAGGTTTGATGAACTGGCAAACATGGGAAATCAACTGCTTTCCAGCTTCCAACAAGAACTTGGTAAATATCATCTCCTTTTTACCATGATCTATTGGAATTTCTAAAGCTTCTGCACACACCTTCAGCACTATTTGTTTAAATACTAAGTTTTCTTGAACTATACAACAGTGCAAATGTAAATATTTTTTATTATGATTACTAGTTCTTTGCATCCTTAGTGGGCCCTCAGGATTTTCCTAAGTAGTCTTTGATGAGTGAGTTGTGGATTCTATGTAAATGCAGAATATATGTGAATTTCTTCTCATTAACCTTCTATTGGGGCAAAAGGAATGATACATTGTGCAAAAGGAGGGAACGGTATAAAAGCCTTTTGCATAGTGCAAACATAAATGCATGTCCTTCTAGAATGTATCATGTACAATACTATCATGGAACTGTTATTTAAAGACTTTATTTGAACATGGTGACAATCCAACTCTATGTTCTCTGCTCACTAGTTAAATACATGAAATAATGTGAATGGCAGCTGAATTGTCACAACCTATTGTCTTAGATCCAAACTAGAGCTATTGCTGAATTTAAGCCTCCATAAACTCCAGGTAATTGGAATCTTTGTGCAGTAGGTTTTAATGAAACCAAACCATTATGGAGGAACTCTGAGGCTTGATAGCCTGTGAAGGCAGGCGAGGCAATGACCCACACCAACTCAGCTTGAACTTGGTGTACATTAAGCTTCATGTTTGAGTAAGCCCCTGAAATGTATTATGATTCCTTTCCTTCCGTATGCCCGCAAAGATTACCAAAGAGCACATCTTCTAGAGGTTCCATCTTTGAATTAGAAGAAGCCCCTCCATTTAGAGGTGACCCTATCAAATGCGGTACCATCCAAGAGATTTCACAGATGCATTGTCTTCAGTTTAAGAATGCCATTCATACATGCAAATAGTGTTGCAAATTCAAATAATAGAAAAAAAAAAGAAAAAGAAAACAATGTATTGATTGAAAACTAATGAAAGCTAACAAGCCTGACTTCAATGGCTCTAGAATTCAATAGAAGTCCGAAGAACAATGTTATGTAAAAAACAACAATCAACTATGAATGAAAACCCCTACTGCAACTGTTATTTATAGACTTTATTTGAACTCCCTAATTCTAATCCTAATGTAACTAGAACCCGTAATTAAAACTGAACCCAAATTTGACACTTTTGCCCTTGGCAAAATAAAATAAAACAAACTTGTTGTAAAAATAACCTTGAAATGATTCCCCAAATTTGCGTAGGCATAATTTTTCGTTCTGATGTTGAAATTGCTATTATGACCCCATTTCGTAACAGCAATGTAAGCCCTTCAAGCTAAATGGCTCTAAAGCCCTGAAGGCTGGACCTTAAATTTGTTGTACGAAGTCAGCCTGGATTTCTAGTTAAGGAGAACTCACCCTCGAGTTCTGATCATCTGTGAACTTCTTAATGCTTCTGCTCCTTTGAAATCCACATATTCTTTGACTCAGGCTTACGTTTCCATTAGATCAAATACTAACCGTAGGAACCATGATGGGTAGTAATGGTCTGAATATCAAAAACCTCGTGGACTTGATCACCAACCTGCTTAGGTATTAGCACCTTCCACTTATCATTCTCTGCATCAATGGGCTTTCCGTGATACTTCATATAGACCATGGATATTAAACATGGGAGAGATCCTGTATCTCTACGAAAGCTTGATCTTGTTTGCAATATTGCCAATCTTCTAAAAAACACAGCACATGCCAATCTTCTTGTGTTTGAACTTATGATGTGTTACATTAGGAAAGTGCTCTTTTCTAGAATATCCATAACTAATGGCTTCATTGAACTCTTTTTGGCGTCGTTGTTGGTGAGCATCATTCTCGTGCTGGTCATAGTTCTCTTTAAGCGTTTTTTGAGAGAAGCTTGATTGTATTTGATAAGTAGGAAAATTATATAGAATCCCCATCATGACAACCCATAAGGCCGGGTTTGAAAAGGTTTAAATATATGGCAACCCACGAGGCAGGGTGCTCTACATGAAAGGGTTATAAAAAGAAAAAAAAATAAAAGACAGTAAATACAAGGAACCAGCCCAGCGGTTGGTTGTGCCCAAAAAATAGGAGAATGCGAGAGATCCAAGGAAATGGAGGAGAAAATGGGCTGAAGAGGGAGAAAAGAGACAGAGGGAGAGGGGAGAGGACAAAATGATTGAGAATAGACTTCAAGGCTATGAAGGCGTAGGCGGCAGTCCTGCAGCTGCTCCGTCATTGACCAACCTGGTAGCGATGCATTTGCTTCCCTAGGAATGTGGTTGAAGGTGCCCTGGGTTGCCTTGCAAAGTACAAATACATCGCCAAAGAGGTCTGCCAATCTTCTAGGTGGTGGGGCTTGATTTATAGCCCAAGAGATCACATTCATTGAGTCCCCTTCCGCTATTAAGCTTTATACGTTGGTGAAGGTTCCAAGGGTGCGTTTGAGGCCTTCTAGGATGGTTACTGTTTAATCCGTGGTGGAGTTGCAGTGTCTGAAGCCTGAGAAGGAGAGGATCTCAGAGTCGTGATCTGTGAGGCTGCACCGATAACCTGAAGGACATGTGTTCCCGAGGGAGCACCCATCGACATCGTGCTTTAGGGTTCTCTTGGGGGGTGCCAAAATGGCTCAGAAGGGAAAAGGCCTCAAGGAGAGGTGCAAGATGTTCCCCCAGTTTGAGATAAAAATAGAGGAGCCCAGTTTGCTACACAGCGACATTCTTGTAAACAAAAACTAAATGATGGTTTGATGCACTCTGAAATGGTTTGCGGGGTGTGACTGAGCACCCAGAAGATGGCGTGGTTAATAAGACTGCTGGGGGTAGGTTAGTTTCCGTGTCTTGTGTTGCTTGCTGTTCGACCCTGGCCCATCCTATCTCGTACCAGATTCAAATCCTCCCCCCATGCCCCCCCCCCCCCCCTCAATGATGGGGTACATAGAAACTTCCACTTTTTTGCTACTCTATCCCATGCAGGTGTTTTGCATGGGTGCCCTGCTGGGGGAAGACTTACAGGGTCCGCTCGATAACCCATTTCTTTCATTCCAGACAACCCATAACAACACAAATTGATTTTGAGCAGTTAAAACTACAGTTCTTGTCACCAATTAGGGGACCATCCAGACTCATAGTTCAAACACGAGCTGCTATCCAACAAGTGGACATTTTTCGGGAGGTCTGTCAATGCTACAGATTTGTAGAGCCCCATCCATAGAAAACTTGCCTAAAGTCGTTATTACTACTATGAACAAAGTCTATCGGTGCCACTTTCTTTAGGAAATTCTCAAACCTAGCTCTAGTGCATCTTTTTGACTATGGTGTAACCAAACCTAACTCTGTGGCTGCCTTCTGGGAATTCTCAAACCTGGCTCCATATTTTGTTAGTGGCCTGGCGATGTTATTTTACTTTTGGGTGAATTGCAATTAGAAATGTCAATGGAAAGTGAATAGATTCTCAATAGAGTTGGATTCATCTTTATGAAATTATGCTCTATGATTGCAAATTTTTCACATTAGGATATGCAGAGACGAAATTGTGTGGTTTTGATTGTACTTTCTCATTATCAATTCTCTACCATTACTTTTCTGTTTTTCACTGCCTAAATGAACTCAAAACTTATCACTTCTTTCTTGCTTTTATCTTTCTGTATTTATCACTAAAGTAATGTTCTCTTCTCAAACAGGAAAGTTTAGAAGGTCTCCATTACAAAAAGAATCCAAAGTGATCTTAGGCATCATTGAAGCAAATCGAAATGAACGGTTGAGTGCATATCTTGAAGCTGGCTGTAGGCTTGGTCACATTGACAAAGTGAATATAAGCAAGTGTAAGAATTGTGCACCTGTCTTGTATAGTTTCTAATATTGTTTTTCTAGACATTATACAGGGCGATTGAGGTTTCATTCTGCGTCTTATCTTTTGTGAGATGCAACAATTGTTTTAGGCTTTCTTCGTTTGATTTTTGTAATTGGCAATGATTACAAAACATGGTGATATTTTTCTGTTATGGCAGTTGAAATTTCATTACTTACCATTGGTCATTGTCTTTAATGATGTGTACATTGTATTCTCCTTGGGGAAACCTATATATTATGGGTTGTCTGCCTCTTTCCATTTTGTTTGCCTTATTTGATGAAATTATGACCATTACAAGAGAAGAGTTTTCTTAAATTGCAGAGAAAAAACTTATTTCCAAGAAGTTGAATTGCTGATACCTTGCTTATTTACCCCCTTAAGTAGTTGCATAAAATCCAAAAGAAGCGCTATTGTTTTTGGGGAAACAATCCATAACAACTCTTGCTTGGTGTGTATTAAGTCTTTCATCTTTATTTCTTGATGGTGTTTGCATACAAATAATGAATTAAACGGGGAGCTCAGCTGGTTTTGCTTTGCGACAAGCTTCCAATGGTTCAAATGCTTGACCTTCCTCATGCAAACTGGATGTCTTCGCCCAAAACCTAAGGGACAAAGAGTAGATACGTATAATGAAAGGTTGCTAATTTTGTCTAACTTATTTTTTTCTCCATTGTCATTTTTTTTGTTGATTTCTGCATTTCTATTTCTTGTGTAAATGGTTGCATAGTTTGCATGGTTTATATGGTTGGTGCTTAGTAGTAGCAAACATCTATTGTTACTTTTTTTTCTCATGAATTATTTTCTTGGAATTGGTTGAAGAATAACACTTAATTCAGTTTTTTTTTTGTTTGAGATGCATACAGTGCACGTATGCCAAGAAGCGCTTCAAGAATATATGGACAAAGGTAATTCTGAAAGCTTATTGATATTGATTTCTTTATCATGTATGCCTCTTCTCCTTTTTAGAAGCATTAATATACCTATGAATTTGTATGTTATGAATTAATATTTTTGTTTGTTGATTTGTGGGGTAGTTTGCAAGAAGAAAGTTTTTGTAGTGCTTCATATATATAAAGCATGTAAAAAGAACAAGTATTTTCTCTGTGAACTCATGCAACCACTCCTAGTAGCAAGCTCACGTACCAAATGTTTGGTGGCAGAACAACATCTATACTTGCTGTATTTGCATCAAATGAATTTGTGTTTATGGAAAGATTCATTAAATTATGAGACAAATATGCCGTTGCTATAGCTAATCACTGTATCCAACATCTACGTACAAGTGGGAATTTGGCAACAGGTTCTAATAGTTTAGTGTCTTGATCATAGTTACCGGGAGCGCCCAACTAGGGTAGCGCTCTCGCTCTGGAACCCAGCTCCGGCACTCCGTGGTCGGGATCTCAACCAGAACCTGCTCCAAAATTTTCGGGAGATCGCTCCTATTTATAGGATTCTTGATCCCATGCACAAAGGATCTCGATCCCACTATCGCAAGGAACGCGTTCCTTAAATTTTAGGATCTCGTTCTTGAATAAATTAGATCCCCGCTCCTAGAATTTTAGGAGCGTGATCCCTATGTTTTTGGAACTCCATCCCTATGTTCCCGGAACTTCCTAAAAGAAACTTCTTAAATAAAATTATATTTTAAAATAAAATAATTATATTTTAAGCCAAATTTTCATAAAAGTGGAGTTCTACGATGGGAGCGCGGACTAATCATGCATGAAACACGATCCTTCTTTGAATGGAGCTCGATTCTTTCCAAATAGGAACGTTGTCATTCTTAGATAGGGGCGCGATCTTGTTGTTGATGGAAGCACGATCCTAATGAATATAGGAACACGATCCCATTTGGCATGGAGAGCGTTCCCGTTAAATAGGAATCTCAATTTCGATGTATTGGGAACGCATTCTTTGTTCATATGGGATCATGATCCACTACTTTTACCCTCACCGGAATTTGCTCCCCAAGCTCAAGAGCTTTGGGCAGATGTCGATCTGACACTCTCGCTCCTGGAACAGGAGCCGTTCCCGCTCCCGCTCCTGGTAACTATGGTCTTGATCAAACTCATATCAATCTTGTGTTGAAAGTTCGGATCTCGTCAAATTGTTGTCGAATTTTTCATCAAATTTGCATACCTTCATATGAGTGTTCACTGAATTTGAATGCTTGATTTGTTATGTATTTATTTTTTGTTTGGCCAGCTTGGTTTGCAAGTGAGCTTCAGAAACATTGATCTCTCTCCTGCAAACCTGGTGACACTTGGGTTGCTAACTGGTTAGGCCAGCCCATAGGCCTTTGATCCATGTTCAGGCTCGAAAATAACCTGAAAATAAGGCCAGCGTGACGGGCCACAACTTGGCTTGGTAGGCTTGGTTTTAGGCTGAGCTCGGACTAGCCCTAGCCCTAGGTTATGTATTCATATAAAATTATGTGATTTTTTATGTTCTATAATAACATTTATATAAAGCTCGTCATGGCCTTGCCCGATAACATCCTTCGGATCCCGGCCAAGTGCTTGTCCTATTCAAAACTAAAATTTCTGCCCCAGCCTACCAAACATAGTTTCGCACCTGGCTCGGGCTAGGTTTGGCCAGACCAAAACCCAGCCCGGTGGCAGCTTTAGGTGACACACCTTTCAATTGGAGGCCTGACAACACTAATTGATTTCATGTCTTAGCCGTTGCTTAATCACTCTATCTTATAGCCTCATAGTGTGGTTCAAAAGTTTGATCCCTCTGATAATTCATACAATTATGTAAGTCTCCTTTGTTCCTGTAAATACTTTTTCTCCACCGATTTGACATTTTCTTTGTTCTCAACACCTTGTTGAACAACTTGGTCAGCCAGCATATGCCAATCTCCCCCATGCACTTCCAAATTCGAACCTCTATCGTGATACTATCTATGCTTAAGGCCTTTCCTGTCTTCATCTTAAAACTTCTTTCATTTCATATATTCTAATCTTGTGAATGTATCTATGACCTCCGCCATCATTTATGTCAAGGGTTCCTCCTAATGCTGTGTTCCTATAGTGTCCATCATTTAACAAATTTTGAAAATAAATTCTCCACCTTTTGTTGACCTTGACATCTTTCATCAAGACCCTCTGATCTTCACTCTTAATGCATTTAATATGATCTAGATCCTTACACTTTGTCTCTCTCATTTTTTGCTAATTAAGACAACTTTTCCACCTTCTCTTATCCCCAATTTATTGTATAGATTATCATATGCCTGAAGTTTAGCCCTACTTACTATTTTTTTTAGCATTTTTATATTCTTATAAGTTTTAATCATTTCTATTACATTGTCAAGCTTTATAATATGATTGTTTTTGGCTGATAGCCTTCTGAGCCTCATCACTCTACACCAAGCTTCCTTATCGGAATTTATTTTCCCTCTAGTTTCTTCTAAAACTTCTTCTGCTACTCTCTTAATACAATCAACTATCTTATTCCAAATAACATTTACTTAGTGCTCAAATTTCCATTTTCCCTTTTTACTAATTTATGATTTATCTCTAAATGATTCTATTTTCTCCTTTTTTAAAGCCAACACCTAGCTCTTGGACACCTATTAATTTTACTCATCTTCCATCTCTTTATGTAGACATCCATAACCAGCCTATGTTGCGTGTTCAAACTCTCTCTTGGGACAACCTTGCTGTCTTTACATGATGGTCGTTATTAATAAGAAAGAAATCTATCTGACTTTTAAGCCATAACAAAATCAAGAATAGCCTCACCCATCTCATTTCTTTTCCCGAAACCATATTGCTCGTGTACCCTTTGATATTCTCTACTATCTTTTCCTGCATGACCATCTAAGTCCCCTCCTAAAAATGTCTTCTCTTCATTTGGCATTTCTTGGACTTGTCCATCCATGTCCACCAAGAGTTGTCTTGTAATTCATCTAGTCCTACCTCTAGCGCATATACACTAATTATATTAATAATCTCCTCCTTCAGTACAAGTTTGATTAATATGAGCCTATCACCAACCCTCTTGACATTAACTACTTTGTCCTTTAAATCTTTGTCTGACTTGTACCTATGCTATTTTTATTATTATCTTTCCCATATATGAAAGTTTATATCCTTCAATTTCCTTGACTTTTCCCCCTTTCTATTTAATTTCCTGTTTCAATCTATGTTAGCTCTCCTTCATCTCATTTATCTGTTAACTCCATACTTTTACTTGTTAGTGTTCCTTGATTCCATGTGGCTGGACGAATCCAATTATTTTAAACTAGTTTCTTTATCCATGCTCATCCAGAATGATGTAGGAACCTTTGCTTACTTATTACCGGAACAAGGCATCGTTGCAGCGCGTCACTTCTAGGGAACGCCCTAGTTAACCCATGTTCATTTCTGACTACACCTGGGTCAGTTGGATCCTTAATCTTTTGTCCGTTTCATCTGCACAATTGGCCTTGTAATGCCTGGCACAGTCACACATTGAAACATTTCCAGCCTCATGAAATCCTTGTCAATATATTTGTTATATTGTGCACGATATATTTGTGTATTACATAGACTACCAGATTATCCAAGCAATAACCTGCATAACTTCCCATCCTCTCTTGTTTACTGTTCCAGCGAAGGCTCTTATCAGAGAATTCGATTGTCTCATGGATGATGTGATTGCCATAATGCAAAAGGCTATAGAGAATTTATCACATTTTCTGGATACAATATCAATGGACAACTTGATTGTTTCCGCTGCTGGAACTGACAAGGTCAGGATATTTCAGTGTGCTCATATTGTATCGTATGACATAGGTTTATCTTGCAGTTTATATCTTTTGTGTTGTGCATTTATGTAGTTTTGCATACACCCCCATTCACTTAAATTGTTTTACCAGTAACAATGTCCCCACTATTGTGCAACACAATATGCAAGTATACATATAGCAGTATACATTTCTAAAGGAAAAAGTTTATATCGAGCCGAGGCTCTAAACAATCAAATTTGAGCCTATCTCAAAAATTTCACTAGAAGATGTTGTTTTGATGTTCAAATATCTTCAGATTGATCATCTCAACATCAAGAAGCATGGACATGAGAAAAAAATGGATTTCAAGTTTTGGAAATAGTGTATTTTGTGACACATTTTTGGACCGTCAATTTTCAAGATTTTCAAGTTTTCATAGATCTATCGGTCTACGCAATTTTGGAAGCTTTAAACTGTATAAATAAATATAAAAACATATTTAAGGCTATCA